CATAAATGAGGGCATAATTCATTTTCATAGTCCTGATAAAATACTAGCAAAAACTTCGAAATATGCAAAGATCAGGGCATTTTCAGGTGTAAATCATTATCAGCAATGAGGAAGGAAGAAGAAAAAATAAGTAAACTGGATCTTGATATTATTTTAAACCCTAATTTACTTATAGCATCCAAAGTTTTGCTTATCATGGTGAAAGGGTAAAGTTTCTAAGCTGGAAAGCTTAAATGTAAAAGATTAGGTATTATTGAGTTCCTCTGTTACACCCAGATTCCTGAGATAGTTAAAACAACGCCCTACTGGCCATTTAGCCWAGGGCCCTGTGCAGTTCGTCACAGGGCCCGAACCAATCAGTTTGAATGTGTACCCYGCTTAGGAATGACCAATCACCCCCGCCCGATCTGTTCCCACCAATGAATGTGCCAATCACGTCTCAGAGTTGTTCAATTTCCCCGCGCCTCATGATGATTTGTTCTGATGTATGCAAAGCCCACYGCCCTCTCCAAAAAGTGTACTTAAGCTCTGCTTGACCTTTGCTCTGGGCTCTGGGCTGCTCTCCCTTCTTGAGTGAGCACAGAGTCCCAGCGCACTGGAATGGATCCCAATAAATATCCCCTTTTGCCAATTGCATGGAGTCAGTCTCTTGGGTGGTCTCTCCCTCTGACATTTCGCCGTACCTTTACATTGGAAATAACCAATAGCTATGAATTCTATAATATTGAATGGAGAAGCACTACAATAATAATTATGTTTAACAGGAGAGGTAAATATGCCACATTTTTTTATCCATTYATCCACTGAAGAACATCTAGGTTGGCTCCATAGTTTAGCTATTGTGAATTGTGCTGCTATAAATATTGATGTGGCTGTGTACCTGTAGTATGCTGTTTTTAAGTCTTTGGGGAATAGACCGAGGAGAGGGATAGCTGGGTCAAATGGTGGTTCCATTCCCAGATTTCCAAGGAACCTCCATACTGCTTTTCATATTGGCTCACCAATTTGCAGACCCACCAGCAGTGTATGAGTGTACCTTTTCCCCCACATCCTCACCAAACTTATTGTTGTTTGTCTTTATAATAGCTGCAATTCTGACTAGAGTGAGATGATATCTTAGAGTAGTTTTGATTTGCATTTCTAAAAAAATGTGGCTCATATACATAATGGAATTTTACTCAGCAATAAAAGAGAATAAAATCATGGCATTTGCAGGTAAATGGATGGAGTTGGAGAAGATAATGCTAAGTGAAGTTAGCCAATCCCAAAAAAACAAATACGGAATGTTTTCTCTGACATAAGGAGGCTGACTCATAGTCGGGTAGGGAGGGGGAGCATGGGAGGGATAGATGAATTCTAGATAGGGCAGAGGGGTGGGAGAGAAAGGGAAGGGGCAGGGGATTAGCAAGGATGGTGGAATGTGATAGATATCATTATCCAAAGTACGTGTATGAAGACATGAATCGATGTCAACATACTTTATATACAGAGATATGAAAAATTGTGCTGTATATGTGTAATAAGAATTGTAATGCATTCCGCCATCATTTATTTTTTTAAAAAATCAATTTTAAAAAGGAGAGGTTAAAAAAAGGCCACAAATGGAGTAACAACTATGACTCTACAATTTACAATCATTATATCATTTCTTTCTTCACATTTTTTCCCCCTTTTTTTTTTTTTTTGGTATTAGGAATTCTATATTCCCTTCTTCCATTTTTTTCTTTTCTTTTTTTTTTTTTTTTTTGGTAGTAGAAATTGAACCTGGGGGCCCTTAATCACTGAGCTGCATCCACAGTCCTTTTATAAAAAATCTTTGAGACAGGGTCTTCCTAAGTTTCTGAGGCTGGTCTCAAACTTGCAGTCTTTCTGCCTCCGCCTCCTGAGTCTCTGAGATTACAGGCATGTGCCAGCACACCCACTTATTTCTTCAATGAGCCAGTCAACAAAATATTTCCTTTTTATTTATTCTTTTTAGATATACATGACAGTAGAGGGTCTTTTGATATATTATACATACATGGAGTGTAACTTATTCTAATTAGGATCCCATTTTTGTGGTTGTACATGATGTGGAGTTTCACTGGTTGTATATTCATATACAAACATAGGAAAGTTAAGTTTGATTTAGTCAACAAACACTGAAATTGTAACATGTGCCAGATATTGTGCTGGGAGCTGAAGAGAACACTGAACAAGATGGATGTAACCTCTAATACAAAGTATGTCATTCAGTAGATTTATTTCCTTGCAACCAACATTACATTTTTCTTTAGAATTTGCTGTCAAAAAACAAAAACAAAAACAAAAAACCTCAGGAATTTATTGTCCCTAAAGTATCAGCTTATATGAATTAAAGCACTGCATTTTAAAAAGTGATAAAGGCTAATAAATAATTCTACTGGTGAATTTTTAGAGAAATTTGTTTTAGACTGGGGTCTTCCAGATGTTGTTGGCTTCAGATAAAAAACAGTCCAGTTTCTCTCTATTATATATACATTCCTCAAGTGACCTATCTATTTCTCTCGTCTGCTTTTATTTCCTGCCCTCTAGCTACCTCCCATTCCACAGAAATGGACTTAGGAACACAAATAACATTCTCACTAAATCCAACAATTTTTCATTAGAACTCTTTCCTTTCTGTATTTTGATGGCATTTTCATGCTTGAATCATTCCTTCTGCATTCAAAAGTAGTAATAGTGAGATTTATGCAACACTACACTGTTTAGCTCCCTTCTCCTGTGGAATCATTTTCACCCCCTTTTTAAAAGCTTTTCTTCTYTTGATCTCCTAATTGTGTGAGTTTTCGAGGCCACTATTGAGCAAGTCATACCCCTATTTTAAATTGTCAGTGGTGCTCCATTATTTATAGTTTCCCAAAGTGCAGTCTATGGAACACTCTTTCCACAAGACTACATCCAAAAACAAACGTTCAGGAACCATGGCAAACACTTATCCCTTACCTGCACATTCTACAGAGATTATATATATTCTCTTTCCCAATCTTCCAGGTGGAGTAAGCCTATGACACAATTCTGGTCAATAGAGCGTAGACTGAAGTTTGTTGACCCTTCACCTTTCATATTGTTTTCAACATGGATTCAAAGCACTGGAAACAGCACACACTTGCAGTTTGAGAAAGAACTTAATAATTGCAGACATCAGCCTCCATGGTGCACAGCATTGAGYCCAGGCCACAGCCACCTACCCGCTGAGTTCATGTTACATAAGAACAGTAAATCCTTATTTGTTTGGACTTCCATAATCAGATGATTTATGCCTTGCAGATGAACACACTCTGTGTCCTCTTGGAACTTGGGAAAGCACATCAGCGTATTCAGGGACCCAAGTAATTCTCAAGAGAAGAAATCTGCTGAATTTTAACGTGTCGTCTCCTAGGCTTGCTTGATCAGGAGGCCTTTTCTTCCTGCACTAACCATTAATATCCCACAGAACTGTGGTTCCCTACATCATTGCTTTTCCAAGTGTGATTCCTAGACGAGCAACATCTGCATCATCTGGAAACTTGTTAAGAATTTTGGGCTCCAGCCTAGACTCAGAATTGATATTTTAACAAGATCCCCAGGTAATGTGCATGGCTTTGGGAAACACTGGTGTTGAGGACAAAGTACAACTAATGTTAACATCTTTATCTGACCCAAGACTTCAAGGGTGTTTATCATTATTGTCTCTTCATGCCTAATTTACTAATAACTGCAACTAGTTCTTGGTGAATTTAATTTTTTTTTTTTTTTAGTCGTAGGTGGACACAATACTTTTATTTATTTATTTTTATGTGGTGCTGAGGATAGAACCCAGTGCCTCACATATGCTAGGCAAGTGCTCTACCACTGAGCTACAACCTCAGCCCCATAGTTMTTGGTGAATTTTAACTCTGTGAAAGGCATTATAATAAGTAGTTTAGTTCTGCAATCCTCATAGTAATCCTGTAGGCACATACTATTCTATAGATGAAATAGCTGAGGTTACAGATGAAATAGCTGAAGTAGCCTACCAAAGGTCACTCAGTTATAAGGTGGCAGACTCCTCGGTTTAGGATTTAAGGATCATCAAACTATATTGCCTTTCTTAACTATGGTTTCCATGCACTTTCCTGTTCTGTATACTTTACAAGCAGGGTTCCTTCAGCCTGTAATGATTTACCCAACTATTCCTCGTTAAGAGGTTTCAGGTTAAAAAGTTCTAGGTAGCTTCTCTGACTCCACCCCCATGCCCCCAGCCAGGTCAGGCCCTTACTATATATCCTTCACATTTATCAGCTTTTCAATTTATTTTCATTTTTGTGATGATGTGGTTACTGTGTATTTTTATCAAATAACTAAGCTTCGTGTGTGCTCGAACGGCATCCTCTGTGCCTAATGCATCCATATTTTTTGGACTACCTTGCCTACACTCATGCTTTTGCTCTCACTTGAAAGGTATCAGTTCAAGTTCCATCCAGAAGAGCCACAGGCTGGTGGCTAAATATTTGATGCAGCACCAAAATGCTGGCATTTGAGTCCTTATTCCCTTCCATATTAACTTTGTAACTGAGCAATCATAAAAACTCAGAGTCACAAATTCTTTGCTAAATGGCCGTAATAACACCTCTCAGGGTTAACAAAAGAATTAAAATGAGGCTCATGAAAGAAGTGTATAACCTATCAAAACATCCTAAGAATCTGAGTGGTGTTTTAAAGCGATTACAATTCTGGGTTGTGGTTAGGAGCTTCAACTCTGTAGCCTAAGACCTGAGTTCAAAGTCCGACTCATAATATGTATTGTCTATACAGTTGATTTGGTAATCCATCATCTGCTGAGTTCTGTCGTGTTTTGTCAGTGGCATTCATAATTTATTATGTTTCTGTTACTTTGAATTGCATTCATAATTTATTACAATGCTGGAGTTATCTCCTAAATTATGGTGTATATTCTGTGCTTTTTTTTTTTTCCTGGTACAAGTTCTTATCATAGTTTTTACACATAAAAATTAAATAAATATTAACAAAATCTGCATTTTTGGTGAATATTGCATATTTGCTGCACTGAAGATACATTAAGCAATAAAGACAAGTAAGAAAAATGAAAAGAAGTACACACAATTGCTATCATCATATATTTAGACATCCAGAATTGCTATTTTTCAAATTATTTTAAACCGAGATGAATTACAGAAATGAGAGCCCAACAGGGACAATTAAACAATATTTGGAATAAAATCATTTGGCCGAATTTTCATAACCACAGATTTCAAAGAATACCACCACCCATGCCAGGTGTACCAGACCACCCCATTGTCGGTTTCAGCTGTGTAGGGGCCCCTGTAGTATACACCATTCAGGTTTGCTGAGTGACACCTAGTGGGAGAAAAAAGAAAACAGACTTATTAGACTAGAAAAACACACTTCASAAACTATATTTTGCTAGCGAATGATCAAAACTTTTCAACTATGGATTCTGCCATTTCTTTGACACATGAATATTTATTGGTTTCCAAGAGCTGAAACATTCCTACAAAAGACAATTATTTTAAAATGGTGAGTTTTAGGGCCACAGCAAATCTGAGGATCCAACACAGGCCATTTGTAAAGTATTGAAAAGTAAACATTTCAGTTCTTAGTAATCTTTAAACAACAACAACAACAAAGCAAAGAACGACTTTGTAACCTCCAGCCTTATATCCTCCAGATCAAGGGAGCTAATATCCTGCTTGGCAAGAGGGGCATGAATAGCAAATCAAGGTGGGGGAAAGGTGCCCTGTTGAGGCTTCCCTGGTTGATCTGCGTGTCTGGGTTCAGCAGTCTGCCACCAAGATGTGGCTTTGTAATTCAAGCACCTTCTTCCTCTTCTTTAAATCACTAACCTATCAATTTTTTTTTTTTTTTTTTTTTACTCAAGGATAGGCAAACAAAACCTAAACTACCATTTACAATTTTCCCAGCCATCGACCAGTAATCATTTGTCTGAATTGCTAAGTTAATTTTTAATATATATTGCACCAATCTAGAAAAGTTCACTAGGTTATCATAAAAACTTTAAATGTCCTTCTTCCTCCTTTAGAGCCTGTACATTTGTCCCTGGTACGTATGTATAAATTGCAGGTAAGAGTACGAGATAATTTTCTGTGTTGTTACTATGATATTAATTACTATGTTTCTTTATTGATATAACCAATGAAAAGATGTCAAATATTAGAGTATAAGGAGAACATTCACAAGGGGTAGTTTTGAAAATCTATGACAAGAACCCAAATTGTGAAATCAAAAATTACATAATACACCCATAAATGCCAAATGGCTGCGTTGGATCACTTAGCTTAGTAATTTGCTTTTAGTGACCCCCCTGGTCATTCTCCTAATTTAAATGGATGTCACTAATTGACATCATGTAGGCTAAATCTTCGAGTGTCTAGAGTTTACTGTATTTTTGAAACACCATGAAAAGTAATGTTAGAAAAAAGAACACTTGTAAATTGAGTCTCCAGAATAAATATTTTGGCATCTCTTTATATTGACATCTTCTACATATACTTTGATTTACTTTGATATTTAGTCTGTGATTTGAAACTTATTTGGAAACTGACTTTATGGTCAGCCCTTTAGTACTCTAAGAATAATTTTCCAGCATCCAGTTCTGAGAACAGCCTGGACTTGACACCAGGTTGGATGATGGTAGGTAGGTGCATGCTTGTGAAGAARCAGTTGTGGTGCTCATGTTTAGACTCTGTACCAGCAGCACAGAGAGGGCAGCAATGCTCCGTGGTTGGTTTGCCATATGAGGAATAATTATCAAGTGCTAATATTCTGTGTAAATTAGAAGTTCGATAGGACAGGGAAAATAAAAAGGAAAGAGGAAAAGAGAACAATAGAGTTAAAACATAATAGTAGAAGTAGTTCAAATTTCTAGAACTATTTACTTTATCTCTAGCTTTTCTGAGTTTTCTTTGGTGGCTCCAGCTACTGAATTGTCTTTCTTTGTTTGCTCTAAAGCAGGTCAATCATTAGTATGTGTGCCAGTTGTCATTCCGGTGCAAACTAGTCAACTAATTGGATAAAAAACATACTTTAGATCTCGTGATAATACTAGTGATTTTTCTGCACATGGAATTCTGTTCAAAATCCAACATTTAATTTWTTTATTTACATATGTATATATGTATTTATTTATTTTGCAGTACTACAGCTTGAGCTCAGGGGTGCTCTTCCACTGAGTTACATCCCCAGCCCTTTTTATTTTGAGATAGGGCCTTGCCACACTTCCCGGGTTGACCTGTATTTCTTGAGTCCCTGGGATTACAGATATGTGTCACCATGCCCTGCCAAAATCAAACATTATTGATGCTTTCAAATGCCTTTGTGAATTATGGGTAAGTGTTAAATAATGCTAACTTAGAAGTAAAGTGGGAGGAAAACGAAGAGGAGGAGGGGAAGTTGCAGATGGTTTTTTTGAAGAACAGGAAAGCCACAGAGGAAAAGATGATCATCACTGGTCATTTGCAAAGTAGGGGAAATTATTTTGTTTCTTTGTTCCTTCACATTACTGCATGTACTCYAGTTCTCCTATAAATGGCCAGATAGTAATTGGACTAAAACTTAAAAAAATTTAAAAAAGCAAAATCCATTAAAAAAAAAAACAACCTCTTTTTCCAACTCCTTAGATCTGCTTGACATGCTCCACTACGTTTAGCTCCTTGTATCTGAATTGAATCTACCACTCTAAAATAACTGTGATAATACCTGATGTTATAATGAGGACTTTCATAATTGTAAGTAAAATTAACACATGTCTGGTATGCCTCTGTTCAATAGAATAGAGGATTCCAAAATACTTGTTAAAAAATTAAATGGATAGTCCTCATATTAGGAAAACCAGACACTCCAGAAATATCAAAGATTGAAAAATTAAAGGTTTAAATGTCCAGATATTTGAAGTGGCACTCATCTTCTAACAAGAAAAGAACTTTCAAATCTTGGAGCACATTTGTTCTGCAGATATAGCAGGCCCATTGGGTCTTTTTGTTGTTGTTGTTGTTRTGCTGGGGATTGAACCTGTGCATGTGAGGCAAGCACTCTACCAACTGAGCTRTATCACCAGCCCCCACTGGGTCATTTTTTAAGGAAGACTCTCTGCATGAGGTTTCCATTTCTGTCTTAAATTTGTGAATACAACAAATGGAAATTAGTAGTCCAGCATCTCCAGTGGACAATGGTTAAAGGAATGAGGGATATTTGGCTCAGAGAGAAGACCTTAGGAATGCAATTCATAGCTTCTCACTTGATGCCAGAGAGTTAGTTACATAGAAAAGGAATTACAATTACTCCATAGCTACTGAGGACAAACCTGGTAAGGTAGAAGACAAATTTTAGATCCATAAAATGAAGATGTTTGTACAATCAAAAAKGGAAGTTGGGTGCAGTGGTGCATAACCTGTAATCCCAGCAACTAAGGAGGCAAAGACAGGAAGTTTGCAAGTTTGAGGCCAGTCTCAGCAATTTAGTGAGACTATCTCAAAATAAAAAATAAAAAGCACTAAGGATATAACTCCGAGGTAGAACACCCCTGTCAATCCCCAGTATCAAAAAAAATTTGAATGATCTTACTGATAAAATAACATTTAAGTATTAATCAGAGAGTAGGATTAGGTTTGGGGACTATTGTAGAAAACATTTCTGTACTGGGAGAATTTGAATTCAGTGAAATAATGAAAGTCACCGTGCTTGAAAAGTAGCACTATGTAAAATAAATACAGCAATAGCAATGTCTATTTTGTATAATATGAAAAAGTGAAGCATTAGTTGATTATTAGGATGCCACAAATACTTCTCCCATGAATATATGTTTTCTTTGTGTCTATTTGTGRCCTTCTATTTATTATTTATCCATTACACAGTTTGCAAACAATCTTTGTAAAAGTAGTAATTCTGTATATTCCCAAAACAAATCTTTCAAACTTTGCTCATGTACACACTGAACAAATCTTCAAAAATACTTCATGGCAGAAGAATCCTATTAGGGCTTACTTAATAATATTCATATTACAAATAAGACCAACATGACCTCATGTATTATAATTAATGCCCACCACTGAGCGATCAGCAACACCATAGCAACCATGTTCATAAAGCATCCAACCTGTTAAACCACCAACCAGACTGTTCCTCCTTGGCACAGTTTTCTTCGTAGTTGTCATTATCTCTGTCCCACGTGCTGAACTTCATGCTTTGGTGACTAGCCCACCACTGCACCTCGGGATGGAAGTTCCCTGCAAGGGAGTCTCCAGCTGTTCCAGAATATTCCCCGATATGCAAGTCATAGGAATTCTAAAGAAAAAGAGGAAAGTTTTCCTACCAGTTATCATCATTTAAACATGTTTATTTAATAAAGAAGAGACTCTATGGTATGTTTTTATTTCTACTGACTTAGAGTTACATTGTAGGTTCTCATTACTAATCCATGTTGATAATAATTGGGAAATTGTAGTACCTTTTCATTCCCGACTTTGAAATTTTTATATTGTGCATAACTGCTATTTTTTTCGAAATCTGTGAGATCAATTTTTAAAGTGTAGTCTCCTGGAAAAGAAACAAGAAATTGMATTTTTAAAATGAAGGAGACCCTCATTGTTATACAAAATATATGTATGAAAATTTGAGAAAAAAAAAAAGAATAGTGTTACCCTAGATTAGGTAGAGAGAAGTGTTAGGAGGGGAGGGGAGGGGATGGGGAGATAGGAAGGATAGTAGAATCAAACAGACATTATTATTATTGTGTGTATATATGTGACTGCATGACCAATGTGATTCTGCAACCTGTATACTCAGAAAAATGAGAAATTATATCCCATCTGATTCAAATGTATGATATGTCAAGATCACTGTACTGTCATGTGTAACAAAGTAAAACAAATTTTAAAAAATGGGTGATGTGACATTGACTGGGGAAGTTAAAAAATAATTTATAGCTCTTTTTAAATTTCCTTCTACCAAGAATCAGTTTTCAAAGAATAAGCAGTGACCCCCTTGTATTTACAACAAGAATATTTTATTGCTTATTTTACTGGGGAAAAAAAAGAACACAATAGTAGAGGTAGAAAGGTTCTACTAAAAATTATACATAACAACTAGTACAATTCACTTGGTAAAAAAAACAACAGAAAAATCATTATTTAGTTAGTAGAATAATAAATCTAATAATGAAAAGACAGACRTTTTAAGAATTCTAATAGTATATCCCTTTTTCCAAATAAGAATCTTAATCTTAAAAATAAAGAATTACTGGGCTAAGGTTGTGGCTCAGTGACAGAGCGCTCACCTAGCACGTGTGGGGCGTTGGGTTCGGTCCTCAGCACCACATAAAAATAAAATAGAGGTATTGCCCAATTGCAACTAAAACAAAATATTTTAAAAAGTAAAAAATAAAGAAGTACTATTAATGATATCTTGTATTTTGAGTATCAGGCCACAACATTTCACAAGATACTCTCTCTTGCCTGCCTGTAAGTGAACTTAGTTATTTTTCCTGGTAGTAGAAAAGATCAGCCAGTAAACCCTTCAAGAACTACTAGAAGAAGAGAGAGGAATCCTGGGAGTTATATGAAAACCTTCCTTTGATATTAGCTCAAGAACAAGTAAACATTAATCTCAAAATCCATGGAGTGGATTTTGTTGCAAACACTTCCAGTCACACTTTGTATAACAGGGATAAAGCTATTTTCAGAGGCAATTTCACTACCTTAAGTGCTCTCATAATTAAAGAATGCAGGCACCAGGGCTCTGTCTTTTGTTTGGGATGATGTGATACATTGTTGTAAAGCCTGGAACTGATAATGCATTTATAGTAAGAACAAGCAGCCCAAACACTTAATCAAAACATGAAAGGGAGACTTGCGGATGTAGCTCAGTGATAGAGCATATGCTTAGTAGGTGCAAAGCCCTGGATTTAATCCCTAGCACCAAATAAACAAATATGAAGGTGAAGCAGATTTGTTGGCAAAGTAATCTGGGCAAAAATGTACACAATAAAAGTTTTGAAAAATAAGAGGCTTGAATGTCATATATTTAGAAGGATCCAAGGGTGGCAGGCATGGTGGCACATATCTGTAATCCTAGCAACTCAGGAGGCTGAGGCAGGAGAATTGCAAGTTCAAGGCCAGCCTCAGCAACTTAGTGAGGCCCTAAGCAACTTACCAAGAGCTTGTCTCAAAATAAAGGACTGGTGATGTGACTCAGTAGTAAAGTTCTCCCTCGGTTCAATCCCCAGTAATAATAATAATAATAAATACAAATTTTAAAAGTTCTGAGGGTTACTGCTTGGGGTTTTCATAGTTTAAATGATGAACTTGATACATATTAAAGTGAAAAAGAAATGGAAGTGATATGAAAGGAGTTATATATCTGGCAAAAACTATTTAAAATTATGATAATAAATATGCAAAAGAAAGGTAATCTTATATAAATTTATAAAGYACTGATCTAAAGAAAAAGGAGAAAGTATTAGACTTCCTATCCATACATTCTATTATTCTTATATCTCAAAGATATTTATAACTATAATCCTACTGATTAGTATGAATATAGAAACACCTTTAGCTTTGCTGAACTTGAATGAAACAAGTAAATCCTTGCTCTAATATTAATACATTGTGATTTAGCATGTTTTCTTGGACAATACAACTTCCTTTTATGAAATATTCAGGATCAGACTGAGTGGGGTTGACTATAGTCTCAGAGTTAAGCAAGGAAACAGACAAGAGCAAAAGAACATGGGAAATAGAAGCTTAGAAAATGTGTTGTCAAATTATAACATGTTAGACAAATGTCAATCTCTAGGTAAAGACCTGCACATGAATGTTGGTGGGGAGGATTGTACAAATATCTGCAATTTACTTTGAAATATGTATCTTTTTCAAAAATTGATTGATGGATAGAATGATGGGTAGATGCATAGATGTGTGATAAACATAGAAAAATGTCAATATAGAATCTGGGTGGTAGGTTGAAACTTCTTTCAACTTCGCTATATCTTTTCTTTTTTAATTTTTTAGTTGAACATGGACACAATGTCTTTATTTTACTTATTTATTTACTTTATAAATAAATAAATATTTATTTATGGTGCTGAGGATCGAACTTCCACAGCTCCAGCCCCATAACTTTGCTGTATCTTTGAAGAAGTTTTCAAAATAGAAAGTGGGAAATGGCACAGAAACAAGGACATTTCTTATATCATGATTATATAATTGCAAAAACAGCCCCAATTCCCTAATTCTTCACCTCCCTTTTGTAATGTCTCTTCATATCTCTCCCTATTACTTCCTTTCCCCTTAAACTGAGCTGGTCTTGTGACTTTTTTTCACCAATAAAAGGAAAATGGCTGCGTGTCAGTTCTGAGGTCTCAAAAGATTATGTGCTTCTGTTTCCTTCCTTGAAACCCTGACTCTGCTACAAGAGCAAGTCCAGGCTACTTAGCTGCAAGATGAGAGAAGATCTAGAGCACAGCTGAATATTTCCATATGAGGTCAACCTAGAGCAGTCAGCCTCCCACTGACCAGGATGTTGATTGCAGACCCATGAGCAAGTCTAGTGAAGATCAGTAGAACCTAACCCTTATCAGCAAGCTACTCCGATAACTTATAGAATTATAAGGAATAATAGATGGTTATTGTATTGAAATCGTTTGTTCCACAATATTATTGTGGCAATAGATAACTGATACAGTACACATAATTTTGTATTGATTATGACATTACATTTCCTTTCAAGAAATAGAATATATATATGAGAAAATAATTCCTTCCCAACGTTGTTCTAGTTTCTTTTCTTTTCTTCCTAGTTTTAAGCAGCCACAATTTGCAAAAGGGATTACTGCTCAATAGATATCATTACCATCTGCAAATTATAGTAGTTACTGAATTTGTTCAATTGCCTATGACTTAGTGGAAAACATTTTAGTGTTGTTTTCTATTGTATTTCAAGTGAATTTGCTATTAGGCAAAACTTACCTTGTGTAGTCAATAGGTGAAGATTTTTATTGCCCAGCCAATATTCACCATTTTTTTGGACAAAATTTCCAAAGCCATTTTCATAGTCATTCCATCCTCTAAAATTTTTAAAATGAAGTTTAATTTTAGCAAAATCCAAATAGACATCTGAAATAYCCAAGGTATCTCTCTCCAACATCCACCTCTAATATTTTCTTGTTGAGTTAAATCACCCTCCGTATTCTTACTTAGTAAGTGAAATTTTGTTTAATTAATAAACTTCAGTTATGATTTAAAAGTTTTAACTTAAATCTCACATTTATTACTGCAAATAAATTTTTGTTGTAATTAGCACACCTGTTGAAGTCCTCACTGCCATCAGACCTCCTCTGAATTACAGTCCATCCTCCTCCATCAGACATGTCACAATAAACAGAGAATTCTGCGAGGCTCTGGAGAGGTTTGATTTTGTAAAATCCACTGCGCTTATAGCCATCATTAAAAATCTCTGAACAATCTGTTTGTAAAACAAGGTAATTAACAGTTGTCATTTGTATTTTTTTAAGGGAGCCTCTGATTACATTACTTAATACCATTGGAGAAACATACATAATCATAATCATAATACATAGTACATTGGAGAAACATGACATAATCAGCTTTTTATAATTATATTTTGTACATCTCCCAGYAGATATGAGAAAAGTCTTATTTCCTTTCCAAGGATTTAATTATTATCTAACTCCTTGATATGATCATGGAGGGAAAAGAGTGAAATAGGAATTGTTTTCTGATTTATGATTTTTGCAGAGAACAATATAAAATACAAATTATTTGTATTCAGTTAATTATAAAATATCTATATGAAACTTATAGCTTTATTAGACAGCATAGTAGAATCTATCTCTTCTATTAAGCTAAAAATAAAGGTAGAAATATAACATTCAAACAATAATTTAATATTGATTATCTTAACTTAGAGCCTTATAAGTAATCTGAACATTGGAAACATCCTAAATAGTAATCTTGTTAGGTTCTTAAAACTTCTCAGTCTTATCAAATTTTTTATTAACCTACTGAAATTTCTAATAGTTACACACTCTTAAATGTTTTTGCCAAAGACTACCAGTTTCTATAATTCCTTTCATTTTTCTTTACATGGTGTTTCTTTTGCTATTGAAATAAAATTGCCACCAACCTGTCACTGAAAGGTTATATTTGTTTCTCAAGTGATTTGAGGGTAGGACAAGTTAATAAGCATTGGATCTCCTCTAGGCTGATCTGTGCAAACTTGAGAATATGGTTAAGCATTGTTTAGATACTCAGGAAGCTGTTTTATAGGGTGACTAAAGTAGTGTCCACTACAAAGATCATCTCAGACTTTTGAATAAAAATACTTTATCTTCTCTAACTTTCACATCTTGTCCTTATCATTTTCTTTAAGAAAAAAAATTATCTTCCTGATTGGACCWTTCCAATCTATCTTTCTTTCTTTCTTTTTTAAAAATTTTTAGTTGTAGATGGACACAATACCTTTATTTTATTTATTTTTGTGAAGCTGTGGATGGAACCCAGGGCCCCACCCATGGGAAGCAAGCACTCTACCACTGAGCCTGAGCCCCAGCCCTGGATCATTCCAATCTTTAAACATACTTTTAAGTTCTTTCTTTATGTTCATTGTTTTGATGCCAAATTGTCTACACTCTTTTGTTTTGCTACAGATAAAATAGGATTCATATTAAATAAGTTGAATGGGAAATAGGAATCAGAAGAAAAAAAAATAATCTTAGTCATGTGATAAAGTCCCCCACAAGGCTGAGACCAATCATACACTACTGCTTTGTTGAGATGTTCACCTTTGTGATGATCTAGGCTTTGTTTGTACATTTATTTGCAAGAGTCAAAGCACAAATGTTCTTTAAACAACCTCAATTATAAAGGTGACCCTGTTTCAGCAATTTAACAAGAAGAAAAACAATGCAGAAATGATTACATCGAGGTAGCCCAATATTGTCAAAAAGCTTAAGTCTTCTGGTCAAGTCTATTGTATGACAATTTCATCAGAGTAAGCACATTTTAACCAAGTTTGGAAAGGAGCTTTTTGTTTACATTTCATCTCCTCCCAAAGAGCTGAATAGCAAAGACTCATAAGGTTCAAGCTATTTTCCAGGCAAATGTGGAAATAATTAGCTATAATAGTTGCCTTTGGAAAATTTTGTTAATATAGAATTTACTGCCAACATTTTCAATTTGTTTTTATTTTTTGCCAACTATGAATTTGCTTATTTGTGTTTCTTCTCCCCAGGAGAAAATATCAAACACAACTTAAGATGTGTGGTGTGGGGGGAACAAAACTGAAAAACAAAAACAAAAACCAACAAATAAATACAYATCAAAAAAATCGAGGGACTGGGGCTGTAGCTCAGTGGCAGAGCGCTTGCCTAGCATGCGTGAGACACTGGGTTCGATCCTTAGCACCACATAAAAGTTAACGAATAAAATAAAGGTACGATGTCCATCTACAACTACAAAATAAATAAATAAATAAATAGAAAAACAAAAAATCGAAAGAGCGCCAGTAGTTCAACTGCTTATAGTAAAAAAAAAACAAGTTAAGAAGTCTAAGTGGGGAATTAAGAGAAAGATGATAGCAGAAAGTTTGATCGATATAGTGTTTAAAATGTTAACTAGATATTTAAAACGGATTTTTACAATGTTTTAACCCACGGTATTCCCTGGAGAATAGGTAGGACAAGGGCAAATTTAGGGAGCTGTGTGTTTACAGAAGGTTTACCTAAGTAAGGATTCTTGGATACTTACCTAGTACTAGAACCAAGCCAGGGCTTCCTGCCCTTTGTTTTGACAAACATTGCCTTAAACTGGGTGAGGTAAACACTGTCTCTGATCATGCAGAAAGCAACCCATGATAGAAGACTGAATGTTTAAGCTTCATCAAGTGACAAACCAGCTTGCCAAAAGAGCTTTTCCCCCTTGTCCCAGAATGATGACTTAGGTTCAAAGCTGAGAACCAAAACAGACACTAAGTACTCCACATTCTCCACTGAAATAGTCCAGCAACAGAGATAAGCCTCAGTCCATGTTGGGACATGCCCAAACTAGACCTGTCCCAGACATTCTCATACTGAGGCAACACAAGAAAAACTTAAGAGGAGAAGTGTTGTTGGCTCTTTGGAGTATGCAGTATACTTATAGGGTGGGATGGGTGGGCTGTTCTAAAAACAAGGGAAATAATATATGATAATGTCCATAGATTACTCACATGCATTGAGTACTTCTTTTGAGCTAACTACTATATTAAAAATATTGGCTCATTTAATCCTCATGACAAATAGATATTCTTATCATTCCCATTTTATGGGTGAGGAACATGAGACACAAAGATATTATATAATTTTCACAAAGGTCAGGGCTAACAAGATGGGCAGCTGGACTTGGAAACCAGACTTCCAAAGTCTACACTGTAGCCATTACACATGCCACCTCAAGAACTGACATAAAGATGAGGGGCTTCTGCAGAAGGGGACATGGGGGAGCCAGTGGTCTTGCTGGTCAAATAGAAAAGATGCCAAATTACTGTAATGATCACCAATGAATGTGAATTTGTTGCAGTAATATTTTAACTCATAATACAATGCACCCAAATGCTTGAAAAAAGATACAGTTTAATTATACACTGTATAAGAATCATGTGATTTATGCATTGTTTGCACAAATTGCTAGGTTGTTTATGCATTGTTTGCACAAATTGCTACCATGCAATGAATTAGAATTCAGAAAATAACTAATTTAGTAATAATATAGTAACTTGTAAATAAGAACAAAGATATTTATATTTCTACAGATCATATATGTGAGCAGTGTTTTGTTTTGTTTTGTTTTGTTTTGTTTTGTTTTGTTTTGTAAATTTAAGGATACCAGAAACATACTTGGATGTGAGCAGTCTCTTATATATTTTGTATAATATATGGTATTGGGATTGAAGTCAAATTCCTTGTATGTACAATTATGTCAAAAGGAACCCAGGCACTATGTATAAATATAATGCTCTATAATGTCTATGATACACACAGTATATTACATTTTATTGAAATTTATGTGTTATATATTTATTTATTGAGTGTCTGACCTTGGTAGCCTCTCTAGCACTATTGGTCTCTACACTAAAAAATGAAGTACAATTGAACTGTATATTTCAGATTTTATTCCCTCATCTCCTTTCATGTTTGTACCATATGTGAAGACTATTAAGYGCAAACCTACTGACTTTAGGGTTTTTGTTTTAGTTGTGTATCCAGAAAAAGTAATCTAGAATGTCTATCATCTACCTTATCATCATAACACATACATACATACACATACACACATACACACCACCATCACCACCATTACCACCATCACCACCACCACCACCACCACCACACCCAATATAATGGTTTGTAATGATCCGTTTCTTATGACTCTTCTACCTAATTCCTTTTTGCACAATCAGCCCTTCTCTGACCTTGGCATTTTAAATGTCCACTAATACCTTGATTTTTTTCCTCAGTCACCTCTTGTTTCCCAGGGTTAGTGCCCCACCACTCTCAACACAATAGACTTCTTCCCATGATGAGTTGCACGATAACAAACAACTGCCTACCTACTGCCATTATGTGACCCTTGTTGGTGACTTGTTCACATGGTATTTGATCAGCTACTCTGAATCCTGAGCTTGGTTTGGAATTGGGGATAATGATTCTTTACTTGCTTCTATCAGTTCTTAYCCTTGAGATCATTTCTGTACTTGTCTTTTGAATTACATATGTATATGCTCATACCTTGTATGATCAACATGTTTCTCTCCTCTCAGGCTGTTATTCAAATAACTGTCTTGTCTAACTCCATGGGTCTCTTTGAAGTACTTGCCTACACTTTCTTTCACCTGTTCTGCCCACCAACTAAATTTTTTAAATATTGAATATTTTTATAGGCCAGTCACTATGAGAGGTGCTGAAGATACTACTAACTAGACAGTTGGGCAGGGGAGATAGACAATTAAGCACGCAGTTACAATACTCTGAGGTAAGTACAATGATACAAAAGGAAAGGCTGCTTCTGGTGTGCACAGAAGTGCTACCTCATCCAGGCTGCTGAGGCAGGAAAAGTTTCCTGAGAGAAGTGAGGGGAAGAAGGAAAATACAGAAGATGTTCCACAGAGAGGAAAGGGTTAATGAAAAGCCCCAAAACTGCAAAGAGAAGGTACTACCSAGAAATCAATATAAATTTAGTGTACCTGCCATATAACATGCAAAAGGAAAAGCACAGTAACCCAAATGTTCACATTCTGGTTCTCTGTATACTTTTTAAAATACCTTTGAAAATCATTTATTTATTCCTCCTGTCAAACAGAAATTTCATATCTTTTGACCAGTATCTCCCAACTCTTCATCTCCCCTCGCCCCTATAGACTCTGGTAACCAACATTCTACTCTGTGAGTTCAAATTTTCTAGGTTCCCCCAAAGTTATTTGTATTCTAAAATCGGACTTATTTCACTTAACCTAACATCCTCCAGATTCACCCATGTTGTCAAAATGGCGGGATTTCCTTTGTTTTTTAAAGCTAAGTAGTGTTTCGTTGTGTATATTTACCACATTTTCTCATCTATCCATCAACACCCTCCGTTGATTCCATATCTTGGCTACTGTGAATGGTGCTGAAATGAACATGGGAGTGCAGATGTCTCTTCCACATACTGATTTCATCGTCTTTGGATAAATTCCCAGGAGTGGGATTGCTGGATCATATGGTAGTTCTGCCAYATACTTCTGACTACATATGCTGCTTCCACAAAGCATAATACTGGGGCTTCCTTTGCCAAAGTGATCCCTTCCGTTGCCAAACATACTTTAGTGCTCCATTTTGAGCTCCTCTGACCTGGAGGAGGTATCATCCCTAGAATCGAAGACCTCCTCCTTTATGCTTTTCTTACATTCTGTTCCCTCTCCCTTTCACCACTCCCACTTTCCTCTTTTCTCTAGCTTTGATAATGGACTTGGGGTTGTTGGTTGCTGCTTCTCTGATCACACTGATCCCTTTTTTGAAGTGGGGTGCTAACAGGGGCTGAGCAGCAAATTCAAGCTCATGTGGGARGATGTGTCAAATGTAACTGTTAAAGATTTATATGCATCTTCCCCAAGGAAGATGGTATAAGGGGAATAGATATGGTACGTAAAATGCTTGTTTTTTAAATCAGGATCCTGTCTAGTTGTGTATATGGTTATTGTTGCTATGGTCTGATTGTGTTTCCCAAACTTATATGTTGAAACTTAAAAAAATCACCACTCTGATAGTATTAAGTAGTGAGACCTTTATAAGGTAATTAAGTCATGAGAACAGACCCTCATGGATGAGATTAGAGCTCTTATAAAGGACTCCTGCCCTATGAGGACAATGTTTGCCTTCTACAGAGTCCACAGCAGCCAAGCGCCATCTTGGAACCAAAGACCCAGCCCTGACCAGACACCAAGGCACCAAACCTGCTGGCATGTCTCATCTTCAGTTCAGACTACAGCCTCTAGAACTATAAGAAACAAATTCTTGTTGTCTATAAATTACCCAGACTCAGGTATTTTGGACAAATACAAATGGACTAAGACAACTGTGACAATTTATCTTTAGAACATAGAAAAGAAAATCATATTTATTAAGCACTCCCTGTGTGCTGGATAGTCCTAAGTGCTTTATATGYGATCATTTATGTAATCCTCACAGAACTTCTGTAAACTAGATGCCATTATCAGAACCATTTATAACTGAGAAAASGGAGGCACAGAGAAGTTGAATCGTTTTTTCAAGGAAATATTGCTACTAATGCTGTAATTAATTCTTTGAGCAATAGGCAAGACTTAACCTTGGCTAAGTGTTTGGGACAGTAGGCAGAGAAATCCAGAAAGATCTGATCTGGGCCACTGTGATGGAGCCCAGAGTCAGTGTACGCCATTGTCCTTACTGTCACTGTGACAGCCTCTGCTGTCTGTCTAGAAAAATTCACCAGGAAAGGAAATCTCTTTTGACTTTCTTATTGAGAATCAGTTACATCAGAACATACCAATTTCATGGATGCCTTGCTGGTTTCAAACCTAGCAGAGAAACCAGAAATATTATTGCTATTTCTCCTCTGGCTAGGGAATGTATGGCTCCAAATGTAACTGACTCTTCTAGAATAAGATTAATGTTTGGTGCCCTATCTGTCAATATATGACAACCAGCTAACCATAGACTTAGGTGGTAGTAGGGTCAGGTGGCTCTCAGAAGGAGTTATTGCAGTAAATCTGAATGTAGGTTGAGCACCTAGGCCTTTAAATGTCTGAAACTAATAAATAAAACATCTTTTTAAATCTATAGGCATGTCTCAGAGCTACTGCCTCATTTCCCCCCATCTCTGTGCTATGATTTGAATGTGTGTCCCTCCAAAATGCATATGATGGAAGCTGACACCCAATGCCTTCTGGGAARTGATTAGGTCATGAGCACTTCACCCTTGTAAACAGGATTGGTGCTCTTATAAAAGAGGTTGGAGGGAGTGCCCTAGTTTCTTTCGTAGCCCTTCCACCACAAAAGATCCCTGCAAGGGATACCATCTGAGAAGCAGTGAGAGCCTTTATCAGACCCAGAATCTACTGGCACCTTRATCTCAAACATTCCAGAACTATGAGAAATAAATTTCTATTAATGATAAGTTATTTTGTTATAGCAATCCAAACAGACTAAAACACCCTGCTTGMTAAAAGAGGATGAGAACCTCTTGGTAGATGATCTGATTTGCTACTTGGTGGCAGATAGCAGAAGCCCAAACCATATCACAGTCCAAGTGTATTTAGGTAGGCATTTTTCCAGTATCCTCTGTTGATCCTCAAATGCTCTCAAAGAAGGATCGTGCAGGATTACATTTTGGGTTGGCCAACATGATCTGTAACATACATTATTCTAATGATGATAGACACTCTTCTGAAAATGGTACACTATTTCCCTAAAAGGTTTTCCCCATCTGTACTACCCATTGACTATTATTCATCAACAAGATTTTCCTCTATCATGYATTTAAAGCCACAGGATGTTGACTGACACATTCTGTGTGTCTCCTGGATTTAGGAAGTAGGGTTCAAAGCAAAATTCATCTGTCCACTCTCTGATTTCCAAATGACTGCAAATGGACTGCATAGGAACCTACCTCACAATACCCCTTGCCAACTGATGTATTTATCATATCCCTTATGAATTTGCCCCAACTTGCCACTGAAACCCTCCATTCTATAGCAACTGTGACTCTCAGTCTTAGTGCTTCTGTTTGTCCCTTACCTCATTACTATTTCACTGATCAGTCAAGTTCTGGACAAACTGCAGATCTCCCAGAAGGATTTCTATGATACCTTCTAGTGAATTAGTGACAAAGTACATCAGTTGACCCTGCACCTGAGCAGTCTAAATGACACTTGAGCTACTTTTCATTATAAAGGTACTTGCTTTGTAGGACAGGTGATATCTGTGGTGCTGCAAAATGTATTAATTTGCTAAGGCTTCCATAATAAAATACCACTGAATGATTGATTTAAATAACAGAAACAAAAGGTTCTTAAATGATCAGCTCATTATACACTTCAATGCATATATCATTACCCTCTATGGAGAACTGTCCATCTGACTCCCTCCATGGGGGAAATATCACCCTAACCAAGAGGAAAATTAATAAGCTATAAAATATACATATCMAAAAACTTCTCTTATTTTTCTTAATAAGTGTGGTTCTTTTTCCTTTCCTGCTATTTTATTATACTAATTTATTTGCCCCCAACCCCAAGGCACATCAGAGTTTCAGAAGGGAAAAGTGGGCACAGTGGCATGTGCCTGTAGTCCCAGCTACTCAGGAGGCTGACACAGGAAGATCACTTGAGCCCAGGAGTTCAAGACCAGAATGAGTGACACAGGGAGACCCAGTCAGAAAAGCAAAAACAAAGAAACCGACAACAGAAAGAAAAACTGCATTAAACATGGAAAGAGTCACCAAAACAAAGCTCAAATAGAAAAATTCATAATTATAATCTGCCATTTGTACAATAATATTTAAAAATCTATCATCATAATTTCTTATAAAACTATAGAAATTCTCAGGTACTTAGCATTCATATTAAACACTCCCTGCWCTCCCAGATAATATTGGAAACACTCCCAGATAATATTGAAACACTCCCAGATAACATTGAAAAAAAGGGTAAAATATGGTAGAAGACTTCTAAGATATGTTTCATATTGCTTGTTACTCCAACAGAAAAAGCTCTTTTGCAAGACCTGAAGTGAACAAATAACCAGCATTGCAGCTGAGTATATGATAAAAGTTACTGAAAGACTTAAGAAAGTTCAATTCTGACCTGCATACTGTCTCTTGCCTCCAAGATCAATGACACTATTCTCCTCTCCTCTATCGAGGAACTGGACTTCCTTGTCATGCAAAAGCTGTGCAATCCTGACCTGTTGCTGTTTGACTCGGGTCTCCAGCCGGCGCACCTGGGCTCTGAGCCGTGCCTGCTCCTGGAAACAGTCCTCGAGAGCCTGCAAAGCAACGTGCATCTATGAATTATGAATTATGAATTTTCATGGAAAATAGATGTGGCTAGCAATTTGGATAAACCAATGATTCAAAYTGGTCTCCAACTCCCATTTGAGAATGTTACTCGAACCAGAAAAGTGGTGTGAAAATTTCTAATACAATTTGCTATTTGGAGAATAAGTGGCTTATGCTACTCCTGAACTCAAGAATGAAATCATGTAATCAGAATGACTATGCTAAGAGATTTATAGTTGTTGTCTCATTCAGTCCTCTTGACAATTCCATGAGGTAGGAATGGACTCAATTCTGATCAGAAGACTTCCTCATGAAAGCCCAGAAGGTAAAAGAACTCTGGACTTCTCAGCTCAAGGAACATTTCTCCATCTCTGCAGGAAACCACCTAAACAGTAAAGTGTTTTATAGCAGTTACTCCTATCATTTAACTAACAGTAAAGTGCTTGTGGAAGTTAATTTTATCGGGAGTATGTTATTCCCCATTAAAAAATGAGGTTTTCAGATGGCCTTTTGGTATAAATGCGTTTTTAAATATAATTTCATGCTTATAWTCTGATGACATATGGTTACCTTTGTAAGGGTTGCTGATTTAGACTCATATAGCAGAGTAGCCCACCCTGTTGGAAATTCTATTGGAACCACTTTAACTTTTTGTTTTAGTCTTTATTTTTCTTTCTGCTGCTTCAAAATGGCATGGAAAGAGCCTGGATTGGTTCAGTTACGTCATTTATCTTCTCTTGAAAGGCCAATAACCCAAGAAATGTGTAAGAGTGGACAAGTCTATAAGCTACGCTCCTTTTTTCACTTTTATTTATTTATCTTTTTTGGTTCATAATAATAAAAGAATGCAATGTATCACATTCTAGTTCAGACCTCAGTACCTCTCCTTCCCCTTCACTTTTCCCACCCCCTGCTCCCTTCCCATTATTAATCTTTCTGCCATTTACCTATAGTTTTTTTAAAAAATTAACTTGTTGTGTATATATACACAATGGTGAGATTCACTGTGGCATATTCACGTATGTACATAGGAAAGTTATGTCAAGAGTCATTCCATTGTCTTTCCTTTCCCGTCCCCRCCCCTTCCCTTTAAGCTTTCTTCTATTGTGACAGCAGACTGAGCAGAGCTCTTTCAAGATAAAGCAAATGTGGTAGGTGAATTGGGAAAGAGAATTGCTGAGGTGGGTCTCCTAGGAAGAACTACKGAGGCCAAGACCCTGCAATAAAGACCCTTGAATACTCAATTCTGGGAAAGCCTCTGGGAGAATGGAAAGAGACTCGAGATAATTGTTTGCCATTTTCCCATTTCACCTCAACACCTCTCTCTATTTGTAGCTCATGTCATGATCTCTTCTGCTAATTAAAAATGTTTACTTCTCTAGGGAGGGTGCATGGRGGCAGGAAAGATGGTGGAATGAGATGGACATTGTGTCCCTAGGTACCCATGGTACAACTCTACATCGTGTACAACCATAGAAATGTGAAGTTGTGCTGCAATTGTGTACCATGAATCAAAATGCATCCTGCTATCATACATACCTAATTAAAATTAATTAATTAATTTAATAATGTTTACTTCTCAAAAACTGTGAATTTTTTTCTTTTTTTCTTTTTTTTTTTTTTGGTACCCGAGACTGAACCCAGTAGGGCTTAACCACTGAGCCACATCTTGAGCCCTTTTTTTTTAATATCTTATTAAGAGACAGGGTCTTATTAAGTTACTCAGGGCCTCCCTAAATTGCTGAGGCTTGCTTTGAACAATCCTCCTGCCTCCGCCTCCAGAGCTGCTGGGATTATAGGCGTGCACCACCACGCCTGGCAGAAATTGTGAATTCCAATATATAATCGCCCTATGCTACTTTTACACAGATAATTTCCTAAAACATTCCAATGTGGTCAGATAAATTTCCTAATTTACATTTGCTAATTTCCTGTCCTACATACTTTTTCCATAAATAGGATCTCCTATGTTCGAGGCCCTCTGACAGGCAGGCAGAACAGGATGATTAAATGTTTTATTGAGTAAAGGAAAGAGTTACACTGTCTTCCTGAGAAGGGTTATAAATTCAGTTTACAAATTTCAGGAGGACAGAAATTCAGCCTCCAAAAAAAAAAAAAAAAAAAAAAGATAGCAATGGAGAATCCATGATAAAGGCCCTTCCTTAGCTCTAGGTCCAGGTCACTAAATTTCTCCCCTTTTTCTAGAATTATTTCCTATTTGCTCTTGGTACTGTGTCCTATCACACTTTGATTTATCCTGAGAGTTATTTGCTTAGCCCCTTGAGTCACACAAGCTAAAAAATGAAGAACAAGAACATTTCATGGTGTCTCSATCTCTTGTCACTTACAGTAAAGGTAAATTGTTTGTGATATTGTTAAATAGAGTGCACTACATAATTTAAAAATAGCTGAAGGGATTAAGGCCAAGKATGTTCAATCTTTATGAGACTGCATATAGGGGTTTAGTAAGCTTATTTAAAACTTAGGAGTCTTCTTTTTCCCTGAAATTTGAGTAAACAAGTATTTTGTCCTTTTTGACTCACAAAAGGAAGACACAAGTTTATCRTAATTACTTTTAAATAATCCAGGTAGCCTACACTAATAGTGTTCAGTGTTAGAAATTCCAAGGGCAATTCTAATTACTGTAGCCAGTTTTAAATTCTTAATATTAAACAAGGAAATAACCCAGTGAATTAAAAATATTTACTTACTTGTTGTAAATACTGATTTTTACTTCACAAATTTTTTTAAGTAAGTGCTACCTATATGCCAGGTACTTCCACAAAACTCATGTGTCCCCTTACCCTTATTTAACTTTTTTCAGTAACCAGTTTACTACAAGTTTTCTGTAAAATAAAAGAAAATCCAGGTCAAAGTAGACTTTACAATCAGTTTTCACAGTAAACTTACCCAGCCTTCCCTGCCCATTATCAGAGTAGTGGTGACAAGAAAGAAGCTGAATATCTTCATCATTTTCCCCATTGAAATAACTGAAAGAACAAAAAGAATTTTGCAAAGTGTTCAACTTCAAATTTTTCATGAGATCAGAACTGAATTCAGGTAGCTCCAAGAGGTTGGCTGCAGCTCCAGGACATCCCTAATCTAGAGTAGGCTTGGAAAGTCTCCAGGACTTCCCACCACACAAAAGGAATCACAGTGTACTTAAAGTACATTGAACCTATTCAGTAACACTAATATAAAAGGAATGGGAGCTTCTTTAGGTGTCCTGATATGTTGCTTGGATGACAGTATAGAAAAGTCACAAGCTCAGTAAACAGATCTGGGACCATATTTTGGCTGAGATAACTTCCTTGTTGTAGAACCATAGGCAATTTACTAAATGCTCCTGATCTATAAGTTGGAAATAATAATTGTTCCTACTTTATAKGGCTGTGAAAATTTTGAGAGAATATTTTTAGATAGCTGGCATATGATAAGTGATAAATAAATGGTAATTCATTTTGYATATTGACGTTCTTGTATTTTTATTTTATTTTTTATTTATTTTTAATTTTTTTTAGTTGTAGATAGACACAATATCTTTATTCTTATTTATTAATGTGGTACCAAGGATTGAAGCCAGGGCCTCACACATGCGAGGCAAGTGCTTTACTGCCGAGCTACAACCCCAGCCTTGTATTTTTACATTTTATATTTTTTTTTTTTTTAGTTGTAGATGGACATAACTTTGATTATTTATTTATTTTTATGTGGTACTGAGGATCGAACACAGTGCCTCACATGTGCTAGGCAAGTGCTCTATCACTGAGCCTCAACCCCAGGCCCAAGTCTTTGTATTTTTAAAGGAAGAAAGTTATAACAAGTAGAAAGTGATATTCATTGCTTTTCTCAATGTTTTAATGGATGGGAAAGAAGCCAAGATAATATAAACATTAAAGTCTTCTTTAATGTGGAGGAAAATTAATTTTAAC